CCAGCTATTTGGAAGGCTAAGGCAGAAGAATTGCCTAAGTCCAGTAGGTCGAGGCTGTGGTGACCATGAGTATGCCACTGCACTCCAGTCTGGGTGACAGAGTGAGACTCCAACTCAAAAAAAAAAAAAAAAGAATAAAATAAAATAAATTAGCCGGGTGTAGTGGTACATACCTGTAGTTCCATCTACTTGGAAGGTTGAGGCAGAAAGATTGCCTGAGCCCAGCAGGTCGAGGCGATGGTGAGCGTGCCATTCACTGCACTCCAGCCTGGACAATAGAGTGAGACTCTGACTCAAAAAGAAAAAGAAAAAAAGAATTTCAGCTGCTAGTGAGGTAATATGACAGGTGACAAGAAATGGAACCCCAGAATAGGATGTCTGAGGGAGAAGCAAGTGCAGGAAGGCCCTCAGGATAGGAATCAGGGACCTCAAAGTTCAGGAAAGCCTTGGGCATGGGCGTGTGTCCCTGACGGAGTGAGCCCTGGGCTTAGACCTGGCCACCGTGGCAGGGAGCAGCCAGAGTGCCCACAGTTGGGCCTGCAACCTGTCCTCGTCTTTGTCATGCTGAGTGCCTGCAGGCTAGGCCTGGTCTGTGCAAACATTACAATATGATCCTTTGTCAGAAGGCCACCTTGGTAACACAAAGTCAGACATTGCTAAGGCTTTGTACAATGTGCTACCAGCAGAAATGGTGCTATGGGCAGGGTATAGGAAAAGCAATGAATGTGTTTGATTTTTTTTTTTCTTTTTTGAGTTAGAGTCTCACTCTGTCACCCAGGCTGGCGGGCAGTGGCACACTCCTGGTCACCGCAGCCTAAACCTGCTGGGCTCCAGTGATCCTTCCACCTCAGCCTTCCAAGTAGCTGGAACTACAGGCATGCACCCACACCCAGCTAATTTTTGACTTATTATACAGACGAGATCTCGCCAAGTTGCCCGGGCAGGTCTCAAACCCTTGGGCTCAGGCCGTCCACTTGCCTCAGCCTCCCAAAGTGTTAGGATGACAGGCTGAGCCACCAATCCCGGCCAAGTTTCAGTAACTTCTAAGGAAAAAATGCTAGGTGGTAGGAGTTGTAGCCAAGGAGGCAACGGATCATCACCAAATCTTGGCTCATTCTTGGCCATGTTTCTCATAACTGCCCCCTCCTCTCCACACCAGCTCCTGTCCCCTAGCTAACGCCAGCATGTTCTCCTCTTCGATCTCCAGACTTACTGCTCCTTCCATCCCTTTCTCCTGTGCCTGCTCGCTGTCTTCCCAAAACATACATCTGAGTATGCTCCACCTGCCTCCGGAGAAAGCCCCACGTCCCAGCAATTCCCTCTGCAATCAGAAGATGGGTCACTTCTGGCCTGCTACCCTCCTACACCTGACCATGTCATCCCAAGCAAGCCACGTCCCTTGGGAGCTTCAGTTTCTTAGCAAAATGGAATAAGAAGGAAAGCTGTCTGGCAGAATTATGTTTAGGATTAAATTAAGATAGGTATTAATCTGAAGTACTTTACAAATGACAAAGGAGACTCAGAGAACATGGGACGAGGAAATAAGGGGGAATGTCACAACCTGAAAAGGCAGTCAAGCAAACTTTGGAATACATGGTCCTTGGCATCAATGCCAGTCTTCTGGTTTATGACCCAGATGTCTAGAAAGCAAGGCTGGAGAACAGGGATCAGACACATTCAGGAGGCTCAGCTGAAATTGCTCCTTGAAGGATCATAAAGCTCTCACCACTGCCAAGACCTCTCTATGCCAAACCCCACTCTGTAGCCTGCCACACTGCTGGCTACCCCCTCTGTGACATGGTCACTTCTCATCTCTCCTGATGTACCCTTTTCTTCTCTGACTGTGCTCCTAGCACCCAAAGATTCTGACCTTGGCCACCTTTTCTGATTCCTGCAGTCTATCCTAGAGCAGTGGTTCTCAACGGGAGTGATTTTGTCCTCCAGGAGACTTTTGATAATGTATGCAGACATTTTTGGCTGTCACAACTGGGTGTGGGGGTACAACTGGCCTCTGATGGGTAGAGGCCAAGGACGCTGCTAAAATATCCTACAATGCAAAGGGCAGCTCCCACAACAAAGAATTATCTAGACTGGGCTTGGTGGCGCAGTCGGTAATCCCAGCACTTTGGGAGGCTGAGGCGAGTGGATTGCCTGAGCCCGCAGGTTTGAGACCCACCCAGGCAATTTGTCAAGACCTCGACTCTACAATAAATTGAAAAAATTAGCTGGGCATGGTAGCGCTCATCTGTAGTTTCAGCTCCTTGGAAGGCTGAGGCGGAAGGATCGCCGGAGCCCAGCAGGTTGAGACTGCGGTGGCTGGGAGTGTGCCACTGTACTCCAGTCTGGGTGACAGAGGAGATTTCAACTCAAAAAAAAGAAAAGAAAAAGAATTATCTGGACCACAATGTCAATAGTGCCAAGGCTGATAAACCCTGGTCTCTCTAGAAAGGTGCAAAGCCTTGAAGTTTCTTTTTTTGTTGTTTTTGAGGGTTTTTTTTGCTGCAAAAACCTTTATTTTTATTTGGTCCAGGGCAGTTAAAAAGTTGCCCAGTGGCTGGAGGGGGAGGCTCTGGCAGAAGAAGCCCTGATGCTTTGAGAGGGGCCCCCCCAGAGGCCGCTGGGCTCCTAGTTGTGCTTGAGGGTGAGCCTTTCGAAGAGATACTTGCCCAGCCCAGACTCAGGCTGGGTCAG